GTCCGTCCCCCCCCCCCCCCCAAACATCTCTCCGGAGGGCACCGTAATTAATTGCCTTCTTAAGTCAGCGCACAGAGAGGAGGGAAGCCTAGTGCAGCCCACATACCTTAGCCCTCTCTTTATTTTTATTTATTTAGTTTCTTGCTTATTTGGTGCTCGATGGGCCCTGCAGAGCATGCAAAGTACGTTTTCTCCCACTGAGCTACATCCCAGCCCCACCTTAGCCCACTGTAGGGAAGGAAGGAGAGGGGAGGAAGCTCAGGCCCCACCCATAAGGCCATATGGAGGTATTCAGTTCTGAATGTTCAGTTCTGAATGTTGAGGTCCACTGAGTCTGTGTGCAAGGTGACCTTGGAGGGAGGGGCCCTAAGATGTCGCTGCCTACCCTGCTCAAGATCTAGAATCAGGGCCCAGGTCGAAGGAGATAGCTGTGGACTCTGTCCTCTGTTCGGAGCCTTTCAGTACCATCCTTTCCTACCACTGTGGTAAGGGGTGCATCACTGGAGGAAGTCCTTTCCTGTCTGGCTGGGAACTGTTTCTGGCTCTTCCCTGCCAGTCACTTCCTCCCAAGTCCCACCCCAGCCATATCCACCCTAGGGTCATTAAGGATGATGTTTAGTAGTTGTTCATAATCATCCCCTTGTCTCTTTCATCTTTGACTTCAAAGCCTTTCCAGACTTCAGCCTGCCACCTGCCAAGATGGGAGAAGTGAGCAGAAAGGGACAGACATGGTGAACTTGGTCAAGTAGACGAGACCCAGGGTTGAAGGCTTTGCTCCCCCACCCCCTGATTTCTGACATTTCTGGGGAGGGAGAAGCCAAGAGGCCTGCCTGAAGAAAAAAAAGAAATGATTAAAGATGAGATCTCAATTTCTGCCTTGGCCCCAGAGTCTAATTCCTACTTTACCCTGGTATTGACCTGTGCCATTCAGCACCTTGGGCCTAGCTGCCTGCAACCCTAATCCCGGCACCTCTCTGATCTTAGTTTCATGTGGGCCCCATCCTCAGACCAACACCAACTCTCAGACCTACCCTGACACCTGCCCTGGCTCCAGTACCTTCCCAAACACAGCCGGCCACTCCCTAAACCAGATCGCCGAGACACTCCCATCTTTTGTCACCAGAGCTGTTGCCCTAGAGCCCCACCTAAGAGCCAAGGGGCTGGGGCTGAGGACCTGGGAGAGAGAAGGAAAAGACCAGACTTCCGTGGGCTGGAGGGAGCTAGATGTGGCTCAACTGTGAGTTAGTACTGGCAGGGAGACCTGAGCAGGACCAAAGTGCCCAGGGCCAGGTAGGGTATGGAAATGGACAGATGGACATCTGTCCTAGGGTCTGCAAGATCACCCCTCCACAGGGCACTGGGAGCTGGGCTTCATAAAACATGTAGCCTGGCACGGTGGCACATGCCTGTGACCCTAGCAATTGGCAGGCCGAAGCCGGTCGTGGTGGCGCACTCCTGTAAGCCCAGCACTCAGAAGGCTGAGGCAGAAGGATCGCTGTGAGTTCAAGACCAGCCTGGGCTACATTGTGAGTTCCAGGTCAGTCTCAACTACATAGTGAGACCCTGTCTCAAAAAAAAACAAAACAAAGCAATTGGCAGGCCGAGGCAGGAAGACTGCCCTGAGTTTAAGGCTGGCCTGCACTACAGAGTGAGACCCTGGCTTTTTTTTTTTTTTTTTTTTTTTGTACTGGGGATTGAACTCGGGTCCTTGCATTTGTGAGGCAGGCACTGGAACCACTGAGCTAAATCCTCGGCCTGAGACCCTGTCTTTCAAAAACCAAAAATGATAAATAAATAAATAAAGCACATAGCAATTCCTCAGAGCTGGGTGGGGCTCCATCTGCTGTAGGTAATTACTCTAATGAGCTTCCCTCGGTGTGGCCTGCCCCAGCCAGGCCCCAGCTCCTCCCTGCCTGGCCTTACCTGGGTGCCACACCCACCTACACACACACACACACACGCACGCACGCACGCACGCACGCACGCACGCACGCACGCACGCACAGTTTGCTCTCTTGCTCCAAACCTACCTAAAGCCCTCACCTAGCCAAGTGACAAAAGCCCCTAATGTCTTTTCTCAGTCCCTGCCTCCCCAGACCTCCCAAATTCATACCTTTCCCCCTTCTCTTCCACAATCTACCCTGAAAAGTGCAGCACTTGAAAGCCTAGCCTGTGGAGCCAGAGTTGTTCAATCCTGCTACGACCCCCAGCCGTGTGACCTTGGACAAGTAACTCCCTGTGAGCCAGCCGTCATCGTCCATAAGACGAGAATTCATTTATTCGGCAAACATTTATTGAGCTCACATTGTGGCATGCCAGCACTTTACATGGACTCTTTCGATCCTCTCATCAGCTCTTCGAGGCAGGAACTGTTGGTCTCATTTGACAGATGAGAAATGAGACAGAGTCAGAGAAACTACCTAGTCACCCAGCCAGTGCACAGTGGAACTTTCCGGGGATTGTGCCTGGCACATAGTAAGCCCTCAAAAGGTGGCAGATACTGTTATCCTCAGAGAGAGGGGCCTGAAGCTTGGGATACAGTAAACCAAGAGCCCGGTTTCTGTCCACCCGAACCGTAAGTGGCCATCTGCCTCTCTCCCCACTTCAGATCTCAGAGTGGAGCAGACACGGGAACCTGAGGAGGGGACAGTGCATCTCCAGTGCCCTCACTCCTTCCCTCCTTCCCTCACTCCACGTCTCTCCAACACCCTCTCTCCACCTGCAGCCCAGGGGTCACATCAGTGGAAAAGATGAATTACTGCCCATAGGGATCTGGGCAGCTGCTACCCGCTTTCCTGTATCCTCCTGCTGGAGTTAAAATGAGGACCCTGACCTAAGAAAATACACGTTGGGCCGGGGATTTAGCTCAGCGGTTCAGTGGCCTGCCTTGCAAGCGCAAGGACCTGAGTTCAATCCCCGGTACCAAAAAAAAACAAAAGAAAATACACATAACTTGCTCTCTTCAGCACCCCCCCAATCAAGGTGGATGCCTGCACTCCAGTGTCTGCTTCAGAGCTAAATTAGAGCTCTTTCAAAGTGACTGCCATAGAGTGCGACAGATCTCGATTCGAATCTCTGCCCCAATACTTACGCACTGTGACATCAGCCACGATTTTTAACTTCTGAGTCCCAGCTTCCTTGTATGTCAAATGGAAAAAATAATATCAACTACCTCCTAGAATTACAGCCTCCTCATAGATTGAGCTCCCTCAGAGAGTAAATGTGATGATAACACTTGTAATTCATTACCTGGCATTTAGTGGCGCCTCAACCTTTTTTTCTGGCCTTTTCTGGAACTCAGTTGCTCTTCTAAGATGAGTTTGAAGATTGGGAGCCTCAAGCGTCAAGAGCCAGGGAAAGGGTCCAGGGGGCAGGCTGCAGTCCATGGTGCTGTGAGTGGGGCAGGTGCCAGACCCGAACCAGATGCTGGGGATGGGTGCGGGGTGCTGGGGACTCCAGGAGCACTCGGGTTTCTCGCACCATTCCCGAGGCTCGTTAAGGCTGCCCTGGCCTGGAGTGCCAGGAGGCAAGGAGGGCTGGGCATAGAGGGAGGAGGCCACAAGGGGAGGTGGTCAGTCAGCTTGTAGTCTGTCTGTCCTTCTTTCTTTTTTGGTACCAGGGATCGAACTCAGGACCTTGTGCTTTGGGGCAGGTGCAGTGCCACTGAGCTAAATCCCCGGCCCTCTCTCTCTTCTTTCATCTTTCTTGCTCTCTGTTCTCTGCTTTTGGTCTTTCCACCCTCATCTCTAGCTCTGTCCTGCTTTTCAGAAGTGTCTGTTTTTACATCTCATTTCACTCTTCCACACCTCCAGTGCTTTCTATCCTTTTCTCCCTTACTGTCTCTGTCCTTTTCTCAGTGGCCTGTTCCTGTTTCAGCCATTCTTTCCCATTCTTACTCACTGTTGTCTGTCTGTACCTCTCTCTCTCGCTCTCTCTCCATATATATACATACATATATATATATGTATGTGTGTGTGTGTGTGTGTGTGTGTGTGTATATATATACATATATATCCTCTCTCTTCTCTCCCCACCCTATACCAACCCTGAAAATGCCAGAGGAGGAAATGGATTCAAGGCTTACAGACCCCCAACAGCTCAAGAGCCAAAGCCAAGCATCCTACCCTCTCCTTCAGGCATTAGAATGTGGAAGCCCAGGCTCCTAGCAGCCTTGACCCCTCTCTGCCTCAGACACCCTGGCCACCCAGTCTTAGCATTGGGTGAAAGACAGACCCCTTCCAGACATTTCTGGACCAGCTCCCTGTCCCCAGCTGTGCCTGAACCCTCCCCACCCCCTCCCTCTCGCCTCAGATTCCCCTAATCCCTGCTCCCCCGCCCTCCCCTCTGCCCCACTTTTCCAGGACTCTGATTGGCTGCTTCTACTGACTGGGCTTGGGGGAGGGGGATAGCAAGGGAGGGGGGCAGAGGGCAGAACCAAGGGAAGGGGATTGCTGTCAGGCCCAGGCCCCTGGGGGGCCAGGGCCAGGCCACTGCCTGGGGGCAGCGGGCACCAGAAACTGAAGGTATGAAAGGGGCAGTCTTTATGGAGGGAACAGGAAAGGATCCTGGGGACCCCCTGCCCTAGGAAGGTCAAGGGAGGCCAGGACAAGCAGGCAGCCTCCTGGGTTCTCTGTGTTCCTAGGAGCCCTGTTGTTGGTGGGGGTGGCTAGAGTCGTGGAGGCAGCCAGAACACCTCAGCTGGTGGACAGTGGGGTCGCAGAGGGAAGCTGGGCCCATGGAAGCCCCTTTGGGCTGTCCCTCTGGAGCCTGGTGGGGGTCCTCCCATCCTCCCACCACACTAGAGGAGGAAGAGGTTTCAGGGAAGGCAGCTGAACACTAGCCTGGACTTTCATTTCCCCTTGGGGTCAAAGCCAGGCTTTCCCCTCCAAGGCCAGCGCTGGTTCCTCCTGCAGAGCTGGAGCTGAGCACCCTGGTGAGACACAGGGGCTGGAAGGACTAAGGGACTCACACATGGCCCTTGCAGCCCACCTCCCAGAGCGCAACACCCACCCACGGCCTGCCCCAAGATGTGGACAGTTAACTGAGAGTTATGATCTGAACAAAATCCTAACTCTAGGGACCCTGAGGAATCAGCTGTGCTCTTCCAGATCTAGGCCTCCATCTTCCCCTCTGGTCAGAGGGATGAACCATCCCCTTGACTCTGTTCTTCCTGGGATGATACAGAACTTTTGGATGCCCTGGAAGAAAGCAAGGCCAGAAAAGACAGGAGAGGCCAGGTTTTGGGTCTCAGCGTCCCCTCTGGTCCAGCAGGCAGCTTAGAGACCTCTAAGCTTTTCCTGGGTCTGTACAGTGGCTAAAGGTCTTGGGGGAGGGAGGCTGGAGAAGGGGAAGTGAAAGCCACCCCCAGACCTGCACCCTCCCCCAGGCCACAGCAGAGCATGCTCCACTGGGCTGGAGCCAGGAGGGGACATATGTGTATACACAGTGCGCAAGAGCGTGTGCCGGGGTCACACTTCTGAGGGTGGGAGCCCAGCTAGGGAGTGGGACTCTGGGCTTGGGCAGGGCTCCCAAGCTTCAATTTTCCTACCCCACAGAATGTTTTCTCTGCCCTTCAGGCAGCCTGAGCCGGGCAGGGCCCCTCCCTCTGCTACGGCAGCCCCCCATCATGCAGCCCCCGCTGGACCTCAAGCAGATTCTGCCCTTTCCACTGGAGCCAGCCCCTACCCTGGGCCTCTTCAGCAACTACAGCACTGTGAGTAGCAGCCTTACTGGCCTGACTTCCCTGCCCTCTGTTCTGACCCCTTTTCCCTCGGCCCCGCTGCCTGATCTCCTCTTCATTTCCTTGTCTCCTCTTATGGTCCCAGCTTCCTCACCTAGTCAGTCGTTGACTGTTTTTTGGCTTTTTGAGAAAGGCTCTCACTATGTAGTTTAGGCTAGTCTCTCTCTGTGTGTGTGTGTGTGTGTGTGTGTGTGTGTGTGTGTGTGTGTGTGTGAGACAGGGTCTCACTATGTAGTTGAGACTGACCTGGAACTCACTGTGTAGCCCAGGCTGGTCTTGAACTCACAGCAATCCTCCTGCCTCAGCCTCCCGAATGCTGGGATTACAGGTGTGCACCACCACACCCAGCTAGGCTAGTCTTGAATTCTCAGCAGTCCTCCTGCTTCAGCCTCCTCTGGGATTATAGGCACGTGCCACCACACCCGCTTCTGTCTAGTATACTATAAACAATAATAGTTCATATTTGTTAAGCCTTAGCAGCTAAGGTCTGATCATTCGCCAGATACTATACGGAGTATTTTATGTGAACTAATTCACTTTATCGTTCAGTGAATCATCATAACACCTAGAGAAGTAATGTGGCCTAAATTGGCAGTAGTAGCTAGGTAAAATGGCGCACGCCTGTAATCCCAGCACTCTGGAAGGTTGAGGCAGGAGTACTGAAAATTCAAGCCCAGCCTGGGTAATATAGTGATTTACTGAAAATTCATCTGAAAATAAAAAATAGAAGGGTTGAAGTTGGGTGTGGTAGTGCACACCCATAATCCTAGCACTTGGGAGGCTGAAGCAAAAGGATCAGTTCGGGTTCTAGCCAAATTGGGCTACACAGTGAATTCAAGGCCAGCCTGAACTACACAGTGAGACCCTATCTCAAAGAAGGAAGGAAGGAAGGGGGCTGAGGATGCCACTCAATGCAAAGCCCTGGGTTCATTCCCAGTACTGCGTGCGTAGATAGATAGAAAGACAGGAGTGGCTCTAGGGAGGTGGAGGCCTGCAGACAATGAATCCACAACAAAAAAATAAGCAGGAAGATAAATGTGCCTGTTTTTAAATTCCACCACTCTGGAGCCCACAGCTGCATGGACAGGACTGGTAGGAGTAGCTTCGAGGTCTTGGAAAGTTGTCCTGATTTAATACAATAAAAATAGGAAGCCACTCTCCATTCTTGAACAGGAGAATGCCTCCATAAGAACATCAGCTGAGGAAGTCCCATGGGGCAGCCCTACAGAAGGGAGCAAAGGCTGGGGCAGGGTGGCCAGTTAGGACGTTGTCCCAGCAATGCAGGCTCAGAGGGAAGTCAAACTGGGCGTGGCAGTGGCCAAGTGAGGGAGAGGAATGGAGGATGGGTGAGGTGTTTCCAAGGAAATAATGACAGGCCGTGGGGACTGACACATTGGGGGTAGGGGAAGAGAAAGGATGAATCAAGGAGACTCAGAGCACAGACCTCCGTGACTGGGAAGAAGTCTCCATTGATAGAGGAAGTTCTTGGAGGATGGCAGAGTGTGGGCCGAGGTGCGAAAGTTTCTTTAGGACAAGCTGAGGGGGTGTGCAGAGGAACATGGGCCATACAGAGCCACTGGACAGTAGAATTTGAGGCCGGGAGCAAGGGCTGAAGCAAAGGTGTTGGGTAGAGTCAGCCTTTCTGCACTCAAATCACCACTATCAAACCATGATCCGTCCCGAACATGTACTGAGTTGGGTACACGTCAGGCACTGAGCAGACATTGCCATGTGAGGCCTTGGTCTCACCACGCCCTGACCCTGTTGAGCAGATGCTATCATTCCTGTTTCACAGTGGATGACAGAAGTGTAGGTTCAGAAGGCTTTGGTAATTTATATAAATTGACTCAGTTTTGCCTAAAATATAATCTGAACCCATAGCATCTGACTGCAAGTAGGGTTCTCTGTGTACTGTAGCTGCTCCCCACAAACTCCCAAAGGACTCAAACCAACAGTTGCATTGCGCTTTAAAGTTTACAAACTGTTTTCCATATCTTCATAGCACCCTTGGTATAGCTGCCATTATCCTCATTCTACAAATGAGAAAATGAGTATTGACTATAAGCAAGGCCTCATTCTACATACAATAGAAACAGGAGGGGAAATACGAGACAGTCCTATCCTTCTTCTTCTTTTTTTTTTTTAACAGAGTCTTATTATATAGTAGAAGCTGGCCCGGAGGAACTTGCTAATGTAGCCCATGCCTGGCCTAAGACAGTCCTATCTTCTTAAGGCTCTTATATTGAGGAGGCCAAGATAGATAGGTATATAGCAAATCAGAGGGAAGATGTTAAATACTGTGATAGAGACATTTGAAAAGGTTTAATTTTGTTTTGTTTTGCTTTTGAGACAGAGTCTCACTATGCAGTTGAAGCTAGCCTTGAACTCACTTTGTAGCCCAAGCGGGCCTGGAACCCGAGCTGATCCTCTGGCCTCAGCTTCCTGAGTGCTGGGATCACAGGCCTGCACCACCACGCCCCAGCTTGCAGAAAAGGTTTGGTTTAACAATTTAAAAAAAATTAGAACTTGCTGTAAGCTGGGCACCGTGCTTATTGTCAGGGACTTAAGACTGACTCAGTTCTTGTCCTTGGGGAGCCCAGAGTTTAGTATAACCATCCAGCAGTGTGGAAGAGCTAGGTTCCAAGCATTTAGTTCGCACGGAGCCCAAGGGAGTGTCAAGAAAGATTTGCTGGATGTGTGTAAGGAAGCAACCAGAGTTAAACAGGAAAAAAACAGACCAGAGGATGGTAGAACGTAACCTGGATGGAGGAGATGACATAAATTTGGACTTGGAAGAATTACTAGTAGAATTTTAAAAGTGGCCTTAGAGAACATTCCAGATTAAAGTAAATCACGTGAACACAGTCTAGAAAGGAGCATTTGAGAAAGCGCAATTGATTGGGTGTGACGGGAACATGAAGTTTGGGTGACCCCCTGTCTAAATTCTGACTTCCACTCACCCTCAGGTCTCAGTACCCCATCACTGTCCCCGTTTTATAGATGAGGACATCAGACCCAGAGAGGTTAAGTGACTAATCTAAGGTCACAATGCTATTTAGTTGATTTATGTGAATAATCCAGACTCCCACAGTGGGGTTATGCAAAGCCCTGAGCATGGGATGGGGGGCTGCAGGGGTGGTTCCATGGTAAAGCACTTGCCTAGCATGTCTGAGGCCCTGGGTTTGGTCCCTAGTACCACACTGAAATACGAATAATAAGGCCATACACATAGATAACCTGGAAAAGGTGGTGAACACCACCAGTTCTTCCATTTGACTGGCAGGATGTGAACTGATATTCCAAAGTATCAGCGGTGTGTCCTCGGACAACTCATCCAATCACCTGGAGCCTCAACTGTACCAGCTACAAAATGGGATACTAATAGCAGTAACAGTCATGGTTCTAAGAATGGCGTTACATAATCATGCCTAGCGTGAAGTGCTCAATCTGTGTTAGCTGCCATGCAATTATTACATTGTTGTTTTTATTTAAGGGAGGAAAAGAAAGAGAAGGGCAGGACACTCAAGGCCCCTGGCTTGGGGACCAAGCAGAATGAGGCCGGGGACAAGGAGCAGGCTCCAGCCAAGGAGACAGCCAGTAGAGTGGGTGGGGAGGGCAGTATGCTCCTGTAGAGCAAGAAGCCAAGGGAGGGAGTGTGGCCGGCTGCATCAACAGTGTCAAATTCTGCAGGGGGATGAGGGCTGCAGAAAAGCTACAGACAGGCATTTGGAAGTCCTGGGCAGCAGCTAAGTACATGGCTTTGGAGTCAACCTGCCCAGGTTTAAATTCAAATCCTAGTTCAGCCACTTACTAGCTTATGACCTTGGGCAAATTATTTAACCTCTCTAAACCTCAGTTCCTTCATCTCTAAAATGAAGATAATAATAGTTCTTACTTCAAATCGTGGTGGTGATGATCAAATTAGATAATCCATGCAGGGTTCAGGACAGACTGGCGCATTCCAGGGGCTCAGTCAACATGAGCGGGGGTGGGACAGTTGTAGTCCTCATGGCAGAGTCTGTACCTCACTCGAACTCGTCTTGCAGCCCTCTCTCCTCTGCAGTCCCTGCCCCTTGGACCCCTCCCCACATTACTGTCTCCCCTCATCCTCCAAGGCCCTCCACTCCTTCCCTCTGCCCTGGATGCCTCTAGCTAGCTACCGAAGCAGCCTCCCTCTGGATCCAGTTACCTGCTTCCCTCGTCTCTGCTGTAGTGGGATAGGAGGGGATGAGTCCCACAGATGACAGAGTGGGAATCCCAGACGCTGTCTAGAAAGGGAGGATAAAGGGGGCTCCTTTTGCCCTCCTGCCCCTCATCCCCCAGTGCTGCCCCGCTCGGCCGCCAGGGGGCAGCAAGTGCACGAGGCGTGGCTCTGGCTCTCTGAGAAGCTGATGCTCTGGCAGGTGGCGGGTGAGGGGAGGAGGTGGGAAGAGGTTGGGAAAGACAGCCCCAGTCTGAGGTCGCCTCTCCCTGGTAGCCCCCAGCTCCCCAGCTCGGAGGAGTCTCTGAGAGAGCAGTGTCTGGCGCCTCGGTTTCCCACGCCTATGGGGACAGTGACTCGTAAAAGACAGCAAAACGCAGGGGACGAGTGAAGAGGGAGCAGGGGAAGGGTTGTCTGGGGCTTCGGAAGACGGGGCTGTCAGCCGAAGAGCGAGGGTCAGGGCGGAGAGGGTGAAAGAAAGGACCAACGCCCGAGTCGGAGTCGCCCGTAGGGTTGGTGGGGACCCTGGACCCGAGAAGGAGCCCCAGTGCAGGCAACCGAGGTCCCCTGGGCAGTGTCTGCGCCG